TGCCATATTCTCTAGATCTCTGAGCATTTGAGGGCTGTCTGCTTAGTATCTTAGCAGTTAAGTTTGCCTTTAGTTAGAGAAAAATCCCTTTTTGTAATAAACGCTGTACCTTTGTAAACGGCTTATAGGATGGACTGAATGGTATAAATATTTTGTTAATTTGAAATAGACCTTTATGGTTTTAAACTTTCATCATCATTTAAAGATACATGAGTTAAATTTAAGTTGTATAGACTTGGCTTATATTTTAAGTAAAGGTAGATTAGAACTTTATAACTTTAAATGTTTACCATCATTTTAAGATATATAGTAATTTAGAAATATGAGACTTAGTATAGTTTAATTTACATTGTATATAGAGCTAGATAAGTATAAAGTTAAATTACAGGTACAAAGACAAGCAGGACTGGATAACAGTAAAGGGGGAACCAGACAAATGGACAGGAGATTTAAAGGGAGAGAGTAGATTGAAACAGAGGGCCTTGGAAAGGCACAGTATTTAGTAAACAAGCCATGGGCAACAGAGCTAGTGAAAGAAGAAATCATAGACAAAAAATAAAATAAAAAGCAAAAAGACCTGGCAGAAATAGACAGGTTTGCTGGCACAGGCCACTGGAGCTAGGTGTGCAAAAAACTCTTAGAGCGTCTCAAGCAGACATTGCCAACCAAGAGAAAACACAGTCAGAGAAAGAACAAACAGAACAATGAGGGACATTCCCAGGTGAAAGAAAGTTCCCACTGAGAGGCAGAACTCCGCTCATTTACCCACTCGCTGGCAGTAACCGAAAGATCCCGTAAAAATGTATTTCCCGTGGGCAAGGCCAAAAAATGGCACAGATTGCCCTGTCTGAGAGCACCCGGCCCGAAACCGAAAAATGGACCCAGAGTGAACAGTGCTGGGTCTGCTCCATGGAAGCGGTTCTGGGTATCTTACTGGATTGTAGCGAATAGGCAGATCAGTGAGTTCCAGAAATACTTAGTTGGAAAAGAGGCAAGTTGAGTTCCGGCATCTCAGGCTGCTGCAGGCAGGAGGGAGTACCAGGAAAAGCTGAGATGGAAGTGGGTTGTAAGGGTACCCTTGCCTAACACGCGCCTGCCAGCGGGTCACGTGAGAAGGTATAAGGGCAGAGCCTTTCCACGTCCAGGCGCCAAAATGTTATTGTTTTGTTTAAAAAGAAGAAAAGAGAAATACTGATAAGACTATAAGTTTATTATAAGGCACGGCAGAATGGGGAGACTAAGAAGAGGAATAGGGGTAAATGGCTGACCACCATGGCTGGTCGCCATAGAGAGACAGAGCGGGAAACAGAGAGAGGGAAACAGAGGAACAGAGAAAGAGAGAAACAGAGAGCGTAAAGGGGCAGGGACTTATCTTTTAAAGGGGTCCTCTGCACCTGCGTGCAGACTTAGTTCCCATGGAACCTTGGGCTGACCAGGGTATTGCCTGTGTGGATTCCACCAGGTAACAGGGGCAGGCCAGCATAATGGCTGAACCTTCAGTAATATTTCCTTAGAGACTTGAAAATCATCTTTCCTCTCTTCAGCCCTCCTATCAACTACCTAGGAGCTCAGCTTCTTTGACTTAAAAAGATATGTTTCATTTTAATTTTGAAAGTTTTTACATGATATATATCAGTAACATAGTAATTTAAAAAAAAACTAAAACTTTAAGATTGACAACTTTCAGCAATTACAAAGAAGTTGTTCTTTGTCTCCTACTTGTGCTGATGAGATCATCTTCCTATCTGCACACCCCAGGCGTAAAGTGCTTTAAGCTCCTCATTTAGCAGGGATGTTGTTTACTGATTGGTGAAGGTAAGAGACTTCGACTCCGCGCTGCCCCTTAGATGTCTGCAGGGAGGCAGACAGTCCCCGAGAAGCTAGTTAGTGTCACATATATAGTCACCACCTTCACCTATGAATCATTTCTCTTTACTGGGGTCCTTTGTCATCACATAACCCCTCGCCCCAGCCACTTCAGTCATTTTCTCCACCTCAAAAATGACCAGTGTAATTCGGTGGGGTCGCTGTAGCTGTATTACCAATTGGCTTACCTAGGCCATTTTGTTTCAGGTCTACAGAACCTTCAACTTTCAGAGAGACAAACCAGAGCTCCTGAAGATTATTAGGAGGAAGAAATGGGTGAGCAAGGCAACATCTCCAGTCCCAAGTGCGGTTGAACAAGGGCAGGATCCAAAGAAGGTGAAGCTTTTACCTCCCGGACTTTACCAATGGTTCCAAAAGAGAGAGCACGATGGCATGAAGTCCCAGCAGCGGGGGCCCAACAACCAGACACCAGCAGGCAACCTTTCCACCCGGCTTTCTAGTACATACAATCAGAGCAACATCCCTGAAAGTGTCCCAGACAACTGTCCACCTCAGCAGACAAGTGTCCCATGTGGAGAGGGCACATCGGATAATGCTACAGTCCCTCCTTTAGCTACGGGGCATGTGCCCAGTAGCTCCTCACGGTACCTCAGGTATGGCTATATGATGTCATTGTATTTTCCCTGCTATTCCATCCTGAAAGCTGCCCTCTCTGCCATATCCCTAAGTCAGTCCACTGCAGAGGAAGGGGAGGAGGAGGAGGAAGAGGGAGAAGATGATGAGTGGGAGGACCAGGAGGAGGAGGAGGAGGAAGAAGAAGAAGAAGAAGAAGAAGAAGAAGAAGAAGAAGAAGAAGAAGAAGAAGAAGAAGAAGAAGAAGAAGAAGAAAACTCAGAAAACACTTGTATATTCTGTGTGCTGTTCAAAAACAAAACAACTTCATAAAGTCACAGGCCACAGAAGACAGAAAATTCAGAAAGTTTTTCCGAAATGAACCAAGTTTTGTTTTTACTAAATAAAAATAGATCTCGAGTTGGTAAATAAACATCTTAAATTTGATCCCGGAGTCTGTGTGCTAAGCTTTCTACCCTTGGGCAGTGTTCTCAGGGCCTTGGCTTCTACACCATTGGGTCCTCCTTACCCTTTCATGGACAGCAGCAGCATTTTTATAGCAGACACACAGGTATGGCTTATATCCTGCCAGAGTAACTTCACACAACTTAGGTATCTTAAAACAGGGACTGTGTTCTCCCAGGCCCCCAACCACAGTCAATGTTACCACGGCTTTTCTGAGTCCATCAAATACTCTGTCTATCAGTCTGCCAAAGGATTACTAATATGTCCTGAAAGTCACTGATACATAGTTCACACAGCAAGCAGGGCATTGGCTTAAAAATTAGCTACAAGATAAACACTACCATATAACACTTAAACATCAACTTTATGCTACCTGATTAATATTTAGGATTTTCTAGTTTAAAAAGTAGCTAGGTAATACCCATTCTTTGTTGTCTGGGGGAACCTCTCCAAAGAACAAGAGCAAGGATGGGCTACTGTTGCTTTCCTCCATTTGATCTCCTTTTCATCACAGATTCATTAGTGCATTAGTGTTGACTCACTGCCTGGTCCCAGTCTTGTGATATGTTTCCCTGGATGCTGTTCATATACTGCATGGGGTTTGATTACAATAAAGACATGGGAAAGGACCAATGGAGCCGAGACAGTATACATTTATAATCAACACATTTATTTGTGCAATCCAGAAAAAGAAGGACTAAAGTGAACTTCAGCAAGAAGTCATTTCCTGGCAGTTTTCCTTTTCCACAAGTCCAAAGTTGTTGAGACTTTGTGGCTTCGCTGACAGAGCCACAGCAGGAGGGATGAACTCACTGATATACCCTTCATTGAGAGCATAGCAGTCTGGATCTGGGAATAGCACAGGGTAGGATGTGGTCTGCATGGTAATAGTGGCTTAGAGTCACCCTGATATTTAGAGGTTCATACTATGATGGGCTAATGGCAGAGCCATTACTTATTGAGTTTCTTAATTGTTCTCCAGAGCATTCACTGCTCCATCCCTCCCCGCAAAGGGATCAGATGCTCTGGGATATCTACCTGGAATATATCCTTCCCACCTTTTCTAGGTATGGGCTCCAGTAACCATCTGGGGTTTGAAATTGGAGTCAGGTATTTCTGCTGCAGGTTGGTTAGCACAGCTTGATTTTCCAGTTCCACAACCTCATCGGCAGTTAAGGTTTCTGGACACTGCAAAGTCTCTCCAATGTCAATAAGTCCTGGCACAAAGACAGAAACATACAGATGTATTCGCTTCTATACAGCAAGGTTATCTTTATGACGGCAGTATCAACTGATGGGGTATAACATATCACCAAAATGATAAGAAACATGGATTTTTCTCACTGAATATTGGGGACATGACCAATTGAACTAGGGAATCCTGGGTGCAGCAGTCATAGGCCTTAAGAAAAAGGAGAGAGTGACTTGTCCTCAGTGACTCCTTGTTTAAGTGACAGTCAGGTTCTAGCATATTGCTAAGGCTGGTGTTTGTCTACTGAAAGAGTACCAGCCTCAGCTAGGAAGACTATAGTCAGTAAGATTCCTAATTATGTAACCAGATAATTGAATTAGATGCTGACTGGTGTTTTACCCAGGGTACTTGTGACAGGCATTAGAAGCCAGCAGGCAGCCTTACTCTAGATAACACTTGATTTTTTCAGTGTGTATGCTGAACTGTCACAGGCCATGCCTTTTGCACATATTCATGCACAAGTTAAATGCTACAAACAGGTACTGACTTCACACAGGCTTTCAGATCATAATGCAAACAGGATCTGAGGCCCAGAGTCAAGAGGTAAGTACGTGAGTCTGTGGAATCCAGACCTATGTATAGCAGCCTAGTTACTCCAACAGCTCTTGAGAGGCTGCTTAGAAACTTTAGCCCACACCCTCTAGTTAAAAGCAAAGCAGAGCCTGATTTGATTTGAATAGTTTTGAATCCTGTCTGAATTGTCTACTTCATATTTGGTACAGCATTGCTTACCTGCTATCACACCTCTGCCATATTTCTCTCCTTCCTGTAGTAAGGTCTGAATCTGTGTCAGGGTCATTCCCAACCTCTCTATCAGCACTTCTTGCCAGGCGTCATCTTCCCAGTCCCTGTGAGCAATGTGGATGGCGATGGTACATTTCTGATGGTTACTGAGGAGGGGACGCCAACGTGTCTCAAGAGTCTTGACTCCATTTAAGATTAAACCAGCATAGGGCTGCCGGAAGGAGAGGCAGGGAAACTTCATTTTCCTCAGAGTCTTTGAGCCTAAACACAGAAGTACACCAAAGCTTAGCTCTTCAGGCTCACGTCCATTAGGCCTCACCTTCCCCAGATGTTTCCCATGTACCCTGAAACTCCACTGAACTTGACATGCTTCCTGTTACAGGTTAATGGTGCCCTGCTCAAAGTCAGGCCTGGTGCCAATGGCTGGAGTTGGGATGATGCATGGTCCATGTCTTTGGGGAGCTCACAGAATAGGACAGAGATAGCTAGAGAAAGGTACTGGGAGAACATTGTGGCCAGTGCTGACAGAGGTCACTGGGCCGTAGGGGAACACACAGGAGGGAATGGCCATCTTGACCTAGTCAGGCTTCACATCTGATTAGGCTGGCATTAGCACAGAGGAACAATCTTAGCTTTCCTCCTTTTTCTTCCTGTCTATGTCATTGTCCCCAATACTCTTTGCTTCCTGGTCCTGTCATTATAGGTCATATAGGTCTAGAATTGTCCAGCTCCAATCTGAGCTACTGAATACCAATCCTTAAAAGCTTGATTTACTTTTGGAATTCCCTTTGACCTCAAGTAGCCTCATCTGTGTCTCCTCCTGGGTCTTGTGGGTGTCATGCTTCTCAAGCCCCTTGTCACATCCCATGACCTGAGCCTAAGGAAGTGAATGATGACACTAAGTACGAGGGTACCAATACTCATACACTGTAGGGAGTAACCCTAGCCCCGCCCAATAGTCCTGGGGCAGGTACCAGGTGGACCTGGGGACTCGCCCATAAGGGCGGGGTGAAGGAAAGCCGGGATGACGTAAGAGGGGCTTCTTAAAAGGCTGCACGTGGGGACCGCGAGCTCTCTTTGTTCTGGCTGCGCTGGCTGGGTTCTTAACCTAGCTCTGGCCTGTGTTTCACCCGGCTGTGCTTGGAAATAAAGAGACTTTAATCCAATATCTGGCGCTCAAGTTAGACACTTTTTCCACATGACTTTAAAGACTTAGCTAATACACTATTAAGTTTTAATCCTCTCTTAGACTAAAAGGGGAATTGTAGGGAGTAACCCTAGCCCCGCCCAATAGTCCTGGGGCAGGTACCAGGTGGACCTGGGGACTCGCCCATAAGGGCGGGGTGAAGGAAAGCCGGGATGACGTAAGAGGGGCTTCTTAAAAGGCTGCACGTGGGGACCGCACGCTCTCTTTGTTCTGGCTGCGCTGGCTGGGTTCTTAACCTAGCTCTGGCCTGTGTTTCACCCGGCTGTGCTTGGAAATAAAGAGACTTTAATCCAATAATACACCTTCTATGTTTTAGTTCCTAGGTGACCAGTATTTTTGGATAGTGAATTGCAAGCCCAAATGACCCAGCAAGTAAGTATGACTCTTAGGACTACCGAATAGTAGAGGGCAAAAACATGCTGGGTGAGAAAGCGATGATGTAGGGTGGCAATGACCTGACTTTGCACACCTCCTATCCAGGTCCTTACAGTCTTCGCGTCTCTTGTGAGAGGTGCACTTTGCCTTAGGAACTGTTGGAGTCATGCTGACAGAGATATGAAGTCAGAACCTCAGTTCAGTCTTAGCATACCACCCACTTTCCATTTTAATAGTGCTCTAAGTAAGGTACATGAAGCACTAAGAACACATTAACTGGGGACAGAGCCAAGGGTGACCATTTTCACATAGTGACAGCAGAAAACACAGGGGCACTGAGCACAGGTTCCATCCTGGCTCTGCTGTCTACCCATGAACAGTCTGTTTTTGGCCTTCCTGGACCTTCTTGAAATACATAACTGTAGTCTCTTGGGTCTCCTTCAGATATAAGACATGGCCCTTTTAGGATAAAATCAGTCTGCCATTTGTCTTTCTCCAGTCATACTGCAACTGGTCAAGGCTAGCAAACACTAACAGTTTTAACTGTCAACTTGACACAGCCTAGACTCACCTCAGAAGGCAGTTTCAATTGAGGGATTGCCTAGATAAGATTGGCCAGTGTGGACATCTGTGGGGGCAGTTTGCAATATTAATTATTGTAGGAGGATCCAGCCTATGTGGGCAATACCACCCAAGGAATGTGATCCTGGACTGTAAATGAAAGCTAGCGAAGCATGAGTATATAGGCAGGCAATCAAACAGCATTCTTTCTTGGTTTCTGCTCCTTGGCACAAGTAATACTGTGTTGAATAACAAACATACAGGCTTGGCTTCAAGTTTCTCCCTCGAATTCCTGCCCTCATTTCCCCCAAATGACAGGCTGTAACCTGTAAACTAACATTTTCTTTCCACATCAGATTGGCCTGTGGAAGAAAGCCTAAATATTAATCCCTAGGCAGGTGGTCCTCGGTTGTATAAACAAGATAGCTAAGCATGAGCCTGTGAGTGAGCCAGAAAGCAGTGTTCTTCCTTCTAAGTTCCTGCCTTGACTTCCCTCAATGATCAATGATGAATTGTGACCTGGAAATACAAACCAAATAGTACCGCTCCCCACAAAGCGTTTTGTCACTATTTTATCACAGTCAACAGAAATCAAAGTGTAACATTCCCCTACATTGCTTCTGCTCATGGTGTTTGTCATAGCAACAGAATGAAACTAGAACACTAACCATGCCAGTTCTGTGTCACCCAGGACCATCCTATCACTCATTCTAGGTCCTAGAATACAGGACCTCTGTCCTGTCAGTCTGCTCTTGCTCAGCATCAGTTTTTCCATTCCATGAGTGGATGGTTCTGCTTCTGAGGACAGTGACTGTACACCTTTTACCACACAATGAAAGTCCCTTTTGTGAGCCACTCAAGCCTCCAGGCCTCCCCTGCCTTCTTTACCCAGTGCTCACAGCAGACATCTCCAAGGACTGGTGCGTACACAAGTCTCTACTTCCTTTGACCCTCCCTATCATATGATCAGCTCCTTTTGTATTCCATGCCCCGGCACTCCTCTCAAACCTGCTTTTACAGGGAGAACAACTTGGCCCATGGCAACTCCGTAGTCACAGCACATCATACCTCAGCATTCTGGCTGCCCCTATCCTAGGCTTCCAAGATGCTCACTGGCCTGCTCTGGCTGCTATGACATGGCACACACCTTGCTACTCAGGTGACTGAGCCAGGCTGTTGGACTTGGGAATTCAACTTCTATGAACCCAATTCCCCCAGTTTTCCCTTTGTAAGTGAGGTTATAGTCTGTCCTATTTTTGTTGCCTAGATGTAGTAGTGCTTACGCTTTCCCTTTCCTCCTCCAACCACCTGGTATATGGCAGTACTTGCATGTGAATGCTTCCTTAAACACCATCTTCCATTACCTCCACAGCCACCATCCTTTCAAGCCCCTACCATGCACTGCCTTTCCAATCACTATTTTTCAGAGGCCCTGTGCTATGAAACTTGTCTGCCGCACTGCACGTAGAATGACCTTGGTACTGAGGTCATCAGATCATCTCATTCTTTGGCTGAAACCTGTCAAAAGGTCCTGTTCCAACCAGCCCAGCATCTACCCATTTCAGTAGGCCCCTTGTAATCTGGCTGCCCAACCTAGACATCTGCTCTCTTCCCACATCATTCACTACCCTGCAGCCAAACCAGCTGAGTGCCCTTCTGCAGGGGTCTGCAAACAAGTCTGCTCTGTGGATGAATAAGTTCCCCTCTTTGGCTTGTCTCCACTTCTCCACCTGCACAAGCAGAAGGTAGATACGGAGAAAACGTCAAGTAAAAAGATAGTTATGTTGGCTATCGGCTGGACGAAAAGCTTCTACTCAGCAAATTTTGGAGATCAACAATTAGGGCTGGCCTTACAAAGAACACACATGTGCGGTCCCTTTCTGGCTGGAACAAGGACAACCTGATGTAGAAAGTTAATTCTGCAGGTGGTTCCCATTATTAAGCCAAGCATGCAGGATCTAGCAGCAGAATAAAATAACGCTGCACAGGATGTGGTTGCATGGAAATGTCCAGGTGTACCGAATCCCAGTGCTTTCAATGTTATTGGTAGATGACACAGGGAATAATACCAAAAGCCACAGATAGGCACCCCTCACAGTCTAGGGTCTCAGTAAGTTGATAGCCTAAAAGTAAGGAGGGACCAGTGCCTGTGGAGTAGCATACATGGTCTCTATCCCCCTGCATCCACACTTTGGAGAGACAGTGAAATGCTGGCAAGATGGGGCAGGCAAAGACCAGCCTTGGGCTAGACCAGCCTTGGGATAGCCCTGCTGCGTTCTGAGTTGCACAGGCACGGAAGCTGGAGCCTGGGGTACCTTCAGTTGGGATGGGGAAAGCTCACAGACTCTCTGACTTAGAGGTTAACTGTCCTTTTCTTGCTGTGGGTCTCTTCAGCCTTACCGCTTAGCAGTCAGCCGACTCCAGTTTACAGCACAGTCCTCCACCTTCCAGCGTTCCAGGGAGGCCTCCAGTACCAATGGCTCCTAGACGTGGGTGGCTAAAATTGGTTATAAAGAAACCATTTGGCTAGTGCCGGCCAACGTTCTGGGTCTTTAACTCTAATTGCTATAAGTAGAGGGACAAGCGCAGAGACGAAT